AAGGGCAGCTGGTCCCACTTGTCCTTTCTGCCACTGCTGAAGTGCTCCAAGCAATGCTAGGAAGGGACAGCGTGACACACGCACACCCCATCAGCACCCACCACACCAGGCACATTACGGCTAGTACAGTGGAAACATCCAGCTTCTCCTCATGACTTCATGGTAGGAGGAAGTCAGAGTCTCCTGCAGCTCTTACTTGCAAACCTCTGCTTGTGTTTGGGTAAGGGACTGTTTGTGTTTTATCTGAACTTACATAAAGTTGTTATGAATTGCTGGACCAGGCCCTGTGCTTCACCCTGAGATGATAGCTTGCCACTAATAATTATAACCCTGCATTTATTTTAATTTGAACATTTCTGGCACTCAGGTGATGTTTAAATGCATCTTTCTCCATACAAATGACTAACCACATGCGTTCTGGTCTGCAGGGGGTAGATACTATCACTATCTGCACTTGGCCTGCCTTAGTGCTTCTTTCCTTTCTTCCAGAGATGTAACCTCTGCACTGACTGCCAGCTGAGTGTGGGCTGCGCACCTCTTCAAGCAGGTATTTCACATTACATCACCTGGTTAAACCTCAGCAGGAGGTTTGTACAGCAACTCTTGCTTCAGCCCTGTAAAAAGGCCTGTTCAGGTACATACCCCCTCCTTCCAGCTAGCCCTTGCCATCTTATGAGGTGGACTTGGCTGGCTCTGGTTTTACTGCTCGCTGGCTTTGCTGCTGCAAGTGCCATTTTTCTTACCCCTCAGCTTGGCACTGAACCACACGAAGGCAGGGGGAGTTCAGAGCTGCAGCATCACCGTGCAGGAGGAAGCGGCTAAGCCAACTTGGGTCTGCCAGGGGGTTGGGAAGAGCCTAGTAAAGCTGAAATGAAATAGGCCACTTTGAATGTGGTAGATGGAATGAGCCTTGCCCTGCTTGGCCTGAGGACAGAGGAAGGGTCCAGCGGCTGCCTCTCCGGGCTGTGTTCCCAACTTCATCGATGGCTACATACAAATATATGCAAGTCCCTTAAACACTCCTAACGTTCACATCTGAAACACGGGAATAATCACACTTCACTTACCTCCCTCCTAAGGCTTTTTATGCTACTTGGGGGGTGATTATAAAGAAATGATATTCTTTGGACAGAGGAGGCAACACAAGTGCAAAGTGGCACTGCTGGCCAAAAGAGGATTTTGTTACTGTAAATGTCTGCAAATCACATGGCATTCGGGATCATTAAGTATCATTCTTTTCCTTTTATTGTGCTTTTATAACAGTGTAGAATGCAATTTCCTCTAAACAATGTTGGTAATAAAGGCAGGTGATCAGCAGGGAGATCACGCTCATTTTAAGCCTCATTGAATTCATCAAATAAAACAGTGGATATCAATAGAGAAGGGTGTTTGGTTTTCCATCTTCCAAATGGGTATTACAAATGATGAAGGGAAATATAGGACTAGAAAAACGTTTAATGGAGCCTGTTATCATGGGAACAGCATTCTTACTAGATGGAGAGGGAGTATAGCACAATCCTTCTACGGTCTATCTATATACCAGACTTCAGAAGATTACGGTCCCTGCTGCTAGTTTACAATACCCTTTCTAGAGATCTATCTGGTACATTGGAAGGGAGATACAGTGGATAACTAAAAAAGAGTTTTCCATTTCTTGCTCCTATAGTACTTACTTGTTCTCTATATAGCAGTGAAGGTAGTATATACAAAAGTGAGTACGGAAAACAAGGTATTAGTTATGGTTAGGAAGAAAGTCTGCGGCAAAGTCTAAAGTCCAGCTCAAGTCCTCCTTCAGTTATAAAGTGCTTTCCATACTGCTATATCCAAGTGGAAAAATGCCACAACCATCTGATCTTGCAGAAGGCCAGTGCTCTCTACCCTGGACTATACTGCTTGCCTTCAAAAAGTCAGGGGATTCCCTTAAGCATGTTCCCCATTTTATCCTTCTGCCTTGCTCCCAATTAAGTATCAGGCATCAGCCCCAAATGTATCAGTTCTGCACGGTTTAAAAAAAATATATTAAATTTGCTTATGAAAGACTGAAGGTATGTCATTCCCATTACAAAGCATGAAACTAAATTAAAATATCTTAAAGGAAATACTTGAAATGGCTGTAGCCATGGCCAGGACTGGCCCAGAAAAGAAAACATTGTCTACTTAAAGGATACATAAGAGCCATGACTGGAACAGATATTCAGATTTTTCACAGAGTAAAGTGGCACTAGCAGTAAGTGCCATCATTTTAGTGGTCTCAGGATTTGCACCCATTGCAATTAATATTTCTGACACAGCTAGCATCAGTACTTTATATTAAGCAGGATGCTTTTGGAGATCCCTCAAAAATTAGGCTATGGTGCTGTGAATGCAGATATTAACTTGAATACCATATCTTACCTTTATATCGTTAAATAGAGTTTGAATACACTAAATAATTCTTAGAGGGAATTAGGGTTATATTTGAGGTCACAGTAGGCAGATCTCAGTAAGAACCAAAAGGGCAGTTTCATTTTGTAATAGTTCTTTCAATACAGAAGAGGATTCTAATCCAGGAAAGGACGAAACAATGAAATACACAAAATAATAATGTGAGAAGACTTAGATTTGGGTGAACAGACACATAAAATCAGAAAATCAGCACTGTTAAATAACATCCAACTACTTCCCATTCTGTAATCCACCTGTGGTTATATCCTAAGTTCATGGACTCCCACAGGATCAGGTGTTACGAGTCTATAAAATGAATTTGGGGATCTGTATTGCTGAAGTGCAGCATCTGTCAGGTAAAACCACAACCTTTTCCATATTCCTGAAGAACATGAGCACCAACACAGTCCGAGTCTGCACTCACAGTCTGAGTCCTGCACTTACCCACACAGTCCTTTTTATTCCAATGAAGTTTCTTTCCAGGTGGACAGACACACTCGTAGCTCCCCATTGTGTTGAGACACCCATAGTCACAGCTACCATTGCTGATGCTGCATTCATCAATATCTGAAAATATAATTAGAATTTAGTAGACTATTAACTGCATGAACACATGTAAACTGCATATAATAATGTGCCACGCATAAGGATATCTGCTCCAATTATATCTTTTATATTTAAGTCTATATAAACACGTAGAACACAGGCTATATTGATGTCAAACAATTTTAGCCTGCAATGCATGGATTGTCCTTACACGGGCACACGCATAGCTTCTACTCTTGTAAGGATTTATGCATATATGATACAATTCACTTTTTTAGGAGTAGCCACACCGAAATTCTTGGAAGTAGAATGCTTGAAAGACTCTGCAGCATCTGGACAACAATGTACATTGCATCATACGGAAAAATCTCACAGGCATAAACATCTGTGAGATGCAATCACTTTTGCTTCTTAGAGAAATAAATTATCCATAGTACCTCACAGTCTGATTTTAGAAATAATCCAGGTGATGAGGGAAACTCTATATTTGACAGGAAACAAGCAGCTGAAGTGCTTCTACTCCTCAATAGAAATGAAAGGAAAAAAGGTTGTAAGGAAAAGGCAAAGCTATTGCCAGAAGTGTGTCACTGATATTCCACATAAAGACTTTCGACTTTGTATGGATTCGAAAGGTATTTTATGAAAATGAACTACAAGCTTTTGTGTCTGTGTAGTCAGCTTTTATATAAAACTTCATTTGCACTCTGCAAGAATATGGTTGAACTGATGAATAAACTATTAGATAGATGGATAGACAGTTCAGTTAGATGAATAAACTATTAACGCAGTGAGACATCATTCATGCCAAATAGCAAGGGCTTACAGGAAAACTAGCCTGAGAGCACAATTTTATTGGTAACTGCATGACAGCTAAATGAGGTCTATACCAGCAAACCAGATGATGGACCAGGAGCCATTCACTTCCCTCAGGGTAGGCAGCATGGCTTGTGCCCCCATGGCTAACCTCTCTTCTCCCACCACTGCGAAGGACATCTTCACCCATCGCGCTCATCAGGAACTGTCCTGTCCTGTCCTCTCCCTGGATCACACTCACGTATCATGTGGGAGGACACCAGACACGCCAAAACTGTGCTGGGGAACCTGTGAACAGTCAGACAGCTGCGTACTGCTGCTCCTCAGCCTTCTCTATTTTCCTGGGAGGGCCATAGCCTGAAAGCCCTTGCTATGGAGCACAGCCCCATTGTTTCAGGCACTGCACTAATCCCAAACAGCAAATGCGTTTTGCCCTTTGAATGTAGCTACCCCTCTAGTTGGTAAAACTGTAGTGTTAATGTAACAAACTTTTACAAGGCATGTCCTTGTCTATTTGACGTACTCCTGAATAAGCCGGAATGATACAAATCCAGCACCAAATATACTGAATGGCTCACATTCCAGCTTAACGATCGGCCTCAAAATGCTTCTGTTAAAGGAAAACTGTTACTTAATGCGTTCTTAAGGGAGGTTTGGCAATGAAGGCTCGCAGGCTGTTGGTGCCTACCTATGCCTCACAGCCATGCCTGAGGCCAGGCTTGAATTCCTGTGCTCTGTGCTTGGCACCGGCTGAATCCCCTCGCTTCGCAGGAACACAGTCTGAGTTCCAGCCAGTCCTCCCAGGCCCCAGTTTCAGTGCCTACTGACCCAATGTGAAGCCAGACTGTGAGGTTACAGGTAAGAAGTGATACTGATGAGGGCGTGGGAGTCAAGTCATGTTCAGACCCCGCGCTAATTAACAAATACAGGCATATTCGTATTAGCCAAGTCTTCCTCTTGCTTCTTGGGGCATTTGGTGGGAGCATGGGAGCGCTTATGGATGCAGTTGTTAGAATGCAGAGACAGTTTTATGTTTAATGTAAGATTTTGGCCTGTATGATTAAGCAAAAATCTAGAAAACAGAGGATATACCTAAAAGAAACAGATTAAGGTACCCTAATATAACAGGCATATGTTCTTCTAGACAGTCTCACGACTCTTGGGCTAGAATCAGGATTCCTGGAAGTCCTGGGTCAGCAGTAGCAAAAGCTGACTGGGGACACAGTCCCAGGAAAAGCTTTTTTTTTTTTTTTTTTTTTTGTTAAATTTGACACATGGCAGTCAGAAAAGTAGGCTTCTGCTGAGCTCGATAGTAGAACATACTTGACAACCCCTACTTGGAAATACACATTTAGCACACATGGCTCCTGTTGTTGAGCTCTGGTCAAACTATTCCACCACGGGCTCTTGCTGTCAAGTGCCTCAGTCCAGAATCAAGCCCCTGCAGAAGAAGCTAAATTCCCAAAGGTGCCAATAAACCTGTAGAGTCTACGGACTTTCCTGAGGTCACTTAATGAGCCAATACATACTGTAAGTAGGGCTTTCCCTAGACGAGAGGTAGGAGCGCTAGCACCCTCCTTCTAAAAGATTCCCTTATGCCGCACAACTTTTATTACAAGAGACGCCGCAAGCTGAACGCCAGTGAGAGCAGCAAGGGCTGCACCTCTGCATGGATAACCCAGAACAGGGCCACTGCCATGTGGTTTATTTAACTGCTAGTAGAGGGGAAGCAAAATGGAGAGAAAGCTTATTAAGAAGCAAGCTTGAGCCAAATCTTTCCGAGGGTTCTCGAATGCATTATTTCTCCCTAGTTTTGATGTCTGCTCAATGCCACATGGATGACAGCCAAGGTGTATTATTTGTTCCACTGTAAACAGCCCTCTCCGGAGGCAGACTAAAACTAATGATTGGCCTGAGCTGCAAAGTTCAGGGCCTGAACATGTCTGTATTCAGATCTAGGACTTTGGATCTGTCCATTACAGAAAAAAGGATGAGGTTTGGATCTCATTATGTTTTTGCCCAGAGTTCAGCACTGAGTATTTTCAGTTGGGGTTTTGGTCCTGCCTCATTCTTAATTAAAGACTGAAGTTGAACCTCCAAATTTGAGGCTTTCCCTAAAAAAAAAAACAACCCCACATATGTAAGTTAATTAAGGAATTAACAGTGAAATCAAAGATCAATCTCGCCTTGCCCCACATACCAAAGGTCCCCCAAACCTTCAGACTTGATTTTGTTTTCAGAACTGCTCTCAAGTGGAGTCTTCCCAAATTCTTGCCTTAGATGGACTCCTATTTCTCTTTCTGGCTGCTCTCCTACATGATCAATTCATTTATTACTGTTACGTACCCTTCTCTACACAAGAGATACTAGCACTCATCTCCCGCACGTTTCTCCTATGCTCAAATCAAGCAATCCAGGAATGGAAACATGAGCCTTTAAGGTAACCTCTTAGGTTTAGTCTGTAACACTACAACCGCTCCACAAATTACGAGCCATTAGGGCCAAACACTGTTCTTGGCAATTCCCCTAACCATGCTTACCCTGGGCTAAGTCTGACTCAGATCAGAATCCAACCTGAACACATGGCTTATGAGGGCTTAGAATTAGGACTTTGTTTATAGTTTAATGCAAGTTTAACCTAGATTATATCTTGAATAATTTCACAGCCTCACACCCCCTAAACAAAGTATTTTAGTTTTGAAGTTCAAAAACAAAACAAAAAAAAGACATGGATCATATCCTGTGTTCCTCAGCATTTTCTAACAATAATTTAGATTCAGAGCTTTCATTGCAACTTGCCCTTTTTACTTTAATTGTGTAATACTGACCTGATTGGTTAAAAGCATAACTCAGACTTAAGAGACAAACCCCACAAAACAAACCTTTGTTCTCCTTTGACCAGTGCTCTGGACACAATCAAAACCTAGCCTGCTTATTAAATGTGCAGACAAAAGACCACAGAAATGCCTGGGAGTGCTAGCCAGGCTGGTGGCAGGCAGTCCCATGCTGTGATACCCCTGGCAAATGGTGGCCTTAAATTTGAGCGTTCTGAAACTCTCCTGTCTTGATCAAGTAGAAGTTGAACCTCTAATTTTGTCATGTGGGAGTACTGCCCCATGGTGCATTTAAAAACAAAAACAAAACAAAAAAAACCCCTCTCTCCTGGATAATTGAACATTATAGCGCCAATTATTTCCAGTTATGCCAAAAAGGTTGAGGAGCAGAAGTAGCTCCACTGAAGATGGGAACAAGCTATCCCACAGCCTTTCCTGATGAGTTTCACAGGCAGTTTCGGTCTCATAGTTTAAGGACAACTTGCCTAGCTACTATAAACACTCAGAAATTGCCTCTGGCACGGGTGACTCACATAGGCTCACGCAAGGCAGGTTCTGTATGCCTGGGCACAGCTGGCAAGTAAACATATCCTTGGGCACGGGAATACAAGTGACCTAGTATGGAGCCTCTCTCCAGCCCTCCCTTTGGTGTTGGTACAGACACAGCTCTAAACTCTGTGCGCTTCTTTTCCCATTTGTAAAATAGGGTAAATACTCTGGATTTTTTTCTCCTTCAAAGACGAATTAGTGAATGTAAAAGGGTTTGAATGTGGAGTTTGCTAAATGAGTGCTATATGCTAACAGTCCAGGACAAGAGGGCTACATTTTCTCACGTCAGTGATGTCAAAGGCAATTAGCTGGCAAGAATATAGTAAAAGAAAGTTAATACTCATTCTTTTTTAAAATTTAAAAATATCAATAGAGCCACAATGTACAAATGCTTTGTAAAACAACATCCTTCTCCTATCCTCTTTTTTGCTCATCATCGGAGGCCCTCCTCCTGTGAATAACTTCACTCCTGTGGAAGCACCCATGGGTGCTCCATGCTTGTTATCTCTTTAAGGAAACTCACTGTGTGTGTGCGCGCGTGTGTGCGTGTGTGACGTGCGGTGCAACAAACTCCAGTTCTGATGCTGTGTTGTGATCTTTGTGGGAGAAATGCTGCATCCATGCAGCTTGGGATGCAAGTGCCACAGCTGCAGGCTGCTGGTCAACACCTGGGCTGCTGTGTACTGCTATGACAAAAATGCCAGACGGTCGTTTTGCATTTACACTCTTCTCCTGGGAATATTTCAGCAGGTTTGAGACTCTGAAATTTTAGACACACCCAGCTGATGCTACTTGAGCTTCCTCAGGGTATTTTAGCATCTTCAGTTCTAAAAACTTCAGCTAAAAAAAATCTGTGGCTCAGTAAACAGTTCATAAAGCAAACAAGCAAACAGATAAGCAAAGCTTCCAAACCTCCGCAATGTGTCAGTCCATACAAGGTGTAGCCTTTATGGCAGAGACATTCAAAGCTTCCAGGGTAGTTGATGCAGGTGTGGTCACAGGTCCTTTCGAAGGAACACTCATCTATATCTGAATTCGGAGAAAAAGCATTAAGAAATTAGAATTCAGTTAAATGGGATGGCTGGAATTTCACAGTCTGTTGCAACATCCCATTACGGATAAACTAGCAGATATCACCCCAGGTAAGATCTGAATAAAACGTTAGTTCCATTCCTCCAGTGCCTAATAAAGAAAGGACTTGCTTGATTTAGGAATGAAACATTTAGGAGTAAAAGATGAAGACCATGTTATACATGTTCACCATTAGGTGGCAACCTTTAACTTCTGATGGTATTTTCCCAGCAGCGTTGTGGGAACATTAGGTTTTGGTGGGTTAGTGGCACAATGGGAAAAAAATGGGGGGCTGAATCAAGTCCTTCCTTATCTTTTCTCTTCCTGCATTACCAAAACTTTGAATGAAAAGTTTTCATTCAACATGAAACATTATGGGTCAAACGTATATGAAAAAGCAAACGAGAAGAACGTGTGAACATACAGAGGGGCCATGGCGTGTATGACCGTGGCCTCGCAGTGACCGCACTTACCCAAACGTGGGTGCTCGGCTCCCTGCTCTCCCTGGGGCAAAGCAAACACCTGGCTACCACCTTGTAGCTGCGTATTTTTGCTCACAGGCTGTATGGGCGAGGGGAGGTGCCTGCCAGCCCCTTCGGGTGGACATTATTCACTTAGCTAAACAGCTAACCATTCCTCTGACATCTTACCCGGCGGGACAGGGAGTCGCTCTCACACTTTGGCTCTGCCTAGGCAAGATTGTACAGACCCTCGCACGGCTACAAGAGGCGCAAGCAAAGCTCTGCCTAGGAACAAGGCAGGATCAGGAGAGGAAGGGCGGCACCTAGGACACAGGAAACCTTGCCGCCAAGTCCACGTTCTGGCCAAGTCAAGAAAATTTGAACCCTCTCCCTTAAAAGAGTCGGGCCTCTCCAATTATCACTGCTCACCAGTGGGAGATGTGCATTGACACGGCCTCTTCCGCCCTGCGCCCAGTGCGGAAAGCAATTAACAGTCCGCTGCTGCGGAGACGCTGCTGCGGTGCTGCTGCGCACGGTGGCATAAAGGTGAGTTTGACAGCAATCATCACAGAAAGGACTTGCTGAACGCCATTACATTAGAGGCACTTTAAACAGCAAGCTGTGCAAAATAAAAGCACTTTTGAGTGAATTTTATCCTCAGAGAATTGGTTTTCCTATTGTTGGTTAATTAGTGATTAATTTCTATGTTAAAAGGTCAGAGAAATTAATACAAGGGCGTTAGTTAAGAGTTGTACTTTGAACAAAATGTCACATTCCTCCAATATTACTCAGGCATAAAGAGACGGAATAGCTTTTCTTTAACAGCCTGCACACTTTCTAAAGTTGCTCATTAAGACCATAACCTGAACAGCACCATTACTATATATAACTTGGACTTTCAAGTTGTACATGTTTAGCAAGCAGCGGGTGCTTGAAGAAGTTTGGAAACTCCCAAAGCTATAAGGGTATGCTGCCCAATTCCTACATCCAAGTACTATTTATATAGCTTTGATGTTTAATGAAACATTCTAGGTCTCATCCTGCTAAAATAAATGCAAATACTTAACTTCAAGAACTATGAAATTAAGCTTTCATGTACACGTAAACAAAACCCAAAGTCTTTGTGATAGTTTATGCATAAATTTACAATGTTGTAAACAGCTATATTTTACATGGTCTCCAATTCTAAGTGTTTCAAAATATGTCCAGAAAGAAAATTCACAACGTGGAAAGCAATCGCCCAGGCAAATGCATGCTACAAAATGAAATATACATGATGAACAGAAAATTTTCCTCTCTGTTTTTGTGTGTGCATCAATCACTTGTTATGACTGAGCAACAAGAAAAGGTCAATCGAGATTTTTCTTTTTCTTTCTTTCTTTTTTTTTTTTTACACTTACTTCATTTTTAATGCATTCTCGTATGTATTTTAAAATGTCATTATTTGAGTTCTGAAAGTAGTTTCTTTTTAGGGTTTCCTTTATAGTCTTGGAAATATGCAGCTTTTGAATATGAATAAATGGCAAACTGTTTCAGTTTTCTCTAAATAAATACGTAAAGTAAAATCATTTGGGAATGAACACTGCAGTTATAGTTTCAAAGGGTTTTTAACGCATAAGAAGCCAAACCATACATCATGGTTTCATTCAAGTGCAGCCTTGTTCCCTGTATGGCATAGCGAGAAATTCACAAAAGCAGTTCATTTTCTGGCCCCTGACTTACCTTGGAAGGCTCTTTTTCAAAAATAATTTTGTATTTCTCAATAACGATCTCATCCCGTAGCATTTTAGTCAGTGGGGTTTATGGGCTGCTTTCACACGTACTGCTCTCTGGTGTTATACGTTGTGGCTTAGACCTTTACAGTTTTCTTTTCACATTAACAAGGATGTATACCCCTCCCTGCCTGGGGAAACAACAGTCTGTCTAATAATATGACCAGTCATCCGCTTGCCAAGTAATAGGCACTCAAGATGGACAAATGCATTTCAGTTTTATGAAATATCAGCTACTCATAAACTTCCATTGTTTACACTGGCTAGCAGAGATGCTGAAACAAACACTTTTACTATAACACAAAGACCGCTATAAAAAGCTTTTTAGCCATTTAAACCCTTCCTCCCACCTCCTGCCGCTGTTCTCATAAATTCAACCCCTGTTAAATTCAGCATCTTGCTTTGGCCGGTCGAATGTGGGAAGCCTCTGCGCAGATTTTTCCTTGCTTAACAATAAAGCTTTTGGAGCCGTTCCCTCTGTGCCTGGTCAGAGCAGGGCTAGGCACTGCCCCACGGACAGGGCTTTCCGCAGCACTGTATCTGCAGAATCACCAGGCCCCTGAGGAATTCAGCACCGCTCATAGAAAAGGGGAAAATATGCACCACGTACCCTTCACTAAAAGAAGCCGGCAGTGTGATACAGGATGCTGAAATCCTCTTGCAACTTTCTTCTTTAGACTTGGAAATTGGTATTCTGGGTGCTGTTACCCCATGACTCCCAGAACCTCTGAAATCGGCTCACACCTTTGCAGCACCCCAAAATACTGCTCCGTATCTACGCTAAGCGGATGTGCTTGTTTCCTACTACCCTCCTGAAACAGCTATTTCTCCGCAGAGACTGAAAAGCAGTGAATTACACCTGTTTTTCACCTTCACAGATCTGGCTTTCAAATCCCGCTTACCATACAACCGCGAATGAACGCAGGTGTCTCATCTTTGTCTCTTCTGTACAAACAACGCTACACAATTTGTTAACATTACCTTCTGAAGAGCAGCCCAAAACTACAAGAGCAGAGATGCGGCAGGTTACTGCTAGAGCATTGGGAATAAGTGAGTTTTCTTTTGTTTTTTTTGGTCAACTCCCCCCCTACAGACACATGTACGCGCTCAAACACACATAATTTTTTTTGTATTGGGTCATCCTGAATTCCTCCCTCCTCCTCCCCCTCAACACCAAAGGACAGGCTGAAAAGCAAACTTTTGGGTTTTAGGTGCTTTTCAAGTGATTTAGAACTATTTTAATTAAGCTTTTGAACTGTTTTAACATGAAAAGTCAAAATGACTTGTTTTGAAGGAGCTGTAGTGGAACACTTCAACTTAAAAAAAGGTTTTATTCTATTTTTAGTTGAATTTGGCATGAATTCACAAATAGTCCTAGCTGTCTCAGAACATTTCAGATTTGCTAATGCACTTACTTGACATCAAGCACATTCTCTTTACTTTCACTTAGCTGAAAAATTTATATCACATTCACCGCTATAACCAGCATATTGTGATTGTGTCATTTCAGCATGCTAAGAGACATCTTCAGAGCGTAACTACTTGAAGCTTTTGGGAACTATGGGGCTAAATTCATCTCTGATAGTGCAGGATCAGTTCCTTGCCAGAGGTAATTTTTCCAGGATTACTAACAGGTAGCATATAAATTAGAAGGCGAGGAACTCCCTACTTCACAGCAGGTGACTTGCCAGAAGGGCTGACTGCACCCTGGCCATCCCAGCCCTCTCTAAAGGCACTTTGCGTATGGTGTCCCACGGTGCTGAGAATTCTCCTTCCAGTTACGGTTTCCATGACATAACGGCACCATCTCAGGCTGAATAAAATACAATATCTCATCTATCAATCCACATGCCTGAAGAGAATATTCGGACGGTGGAAGCATTCCTTTATTTTTGCCTAGAAGGGATTCAATTCCAAGAGATTGTTCAATGGTCTAATCTAAGAGCAGGATTTTCCTGTGTTTGAAGAATGCAATTGTTGCCAATGGCGGTCGTGCTTTAGACTATTTGCTTGGCTCTGTTCCTATTATTTCAGGTCAGCATTTGGGGATTTTATTGTTTGTTTTTCAATTACCCTTACGGGTTTTTTTGGGGTTTATTCTTTCACACATTAAATGATGCCTTAATGATCTACATTTTTCTTGAATTTGATGTTTGTAAGTAGGTGTCACACTGCCAGTACTACAAAGTAAATGGTCCCATCTTTCTCTAGAACAGGGGGTTACCACAGATACAATTTCTTCTAAGTTTCCTCACACAGACGTGTCTCAATGCTGACCTGAGGAAGCAGGGAGAAAGCAGTTCGATTTGCCATGCTCGTTCAGTCCCTGCCCTTTCCACTGCTGCCACCAGTAGGCTCCCAATTACAGCAGCACTAATTGTTCTGGTGGTCCATGGGATGTGGGCTCTTGCTCATTTGTGGACGTAGAGTGCAGGGCACCAAGAAGCCATCAGACAGCAATGATTTTGGGTAAGGCTGAAACTGAGCTGGATTCCTATCAGTAGCTCTGAAGTGAAAGGCTCCTTCCGAGGTCTGTACTTGGCTTCCAGTCCTCGCACGCAGTCTCCTGTACTCCGGATTGTTATTGCTTTTCTCTCTCCAATAATTTTCAGAGTAATTAAAAGCAACCAATAATCAGAAAATTCAAGTGCAATGCATGACATTTCCAAAAGCATTAGCATTGCAAGCAAGCAGCTCAACGCCAAAAGTTTAAAGGTGAGGCTGA